TGCATAGTGTGGGCAGTTTTTAATAGGAAAGCAGGGGGACTGGCAGGAATACCAGGTATTTCACAAAAAGGAGCCAATAGAAAGAGAACAGGACACTTTTTCAAACAAGTAAATGGTACAGCAGGCACATATCAGAAATATGAAATGTTGGGTTTACATATTCTTTAATCTAGCTATATACAGTTGTGTTCAAAATAATAGCAGTTAGACATGACTAACCTGATCAATCACTGTTTTTGGTAGAAATTATATTTCTATATGGCAAATAATTTACTAGCAGGTGTAGTAGAGTAATAGAAATCCAACAGACCCAACAGTCATGACATGCATGCTGCTGATTCTGTGTAATTGAATCACTAATTGAAAGGGGCATGTTCAAAATAATAGCAGTGTGGAGTTCTATTAGTGAGGTCATTCATTCTTTGAAAAACAGGTGGCAATTATTGCCCTTTTTTAAGGAAGGAAGGCAGCAAATGTTGTACATGCTGGTTACAGTGCATTTGAATCTGAAATTCTGAGGAAAATGGGTCGTTCCAGACATTGTTCAGAAGAACAGCGTACCTTAATTAAAAAGTTCATTGGAGAGGGGAAAACAGATAAATAAGTGCAGAAAATGATAGGCAGCTCAGCTAAAATGATCGCAAATGCTTTAAAATGGCAACCAAAACCAGAAAGACGTGGAAGAAAGTGAAAACTACCATTCGAATGGATAGAAGAATAGCCAAAATGGCAAGGACTCAGCCAACAATCAGCTCCAGGAAGATCAAAGAAGGTCTAAAGTTACCTGTGAGTACTGTTACAATTAGAAGACGCCTATGTGAAGCCAAGCTATCTGCAAGAAGCCCCCGCAAAGTCCCACTGTTGAAAAAAAGACATGTGCTGAAGAGGTTACAATTTGCCAAAGAGCACATTGACTGGCCTAAAGAGAAATGGCGCAACATTTTGTGGACTGATAAAAGTAAGATTGTTCTTTTTGGGTCTAGTGGCCGGAGACAGTTTGTCAGACGACCCCCAAACACTGAATTCAAGCCACAGTACACTGTGAAGACATTAAAGCATGGTTGTGAAAGCATCATGATATGGGGATGTTTCTCATACTACGGTGTTGGGCCTATTTATTGCATACCAGGGATCATGGATCAGATTGAATACATCAGAATACTTGTAGAGGTCATGCTGCCTTATTCTGAAGAGGAAATGCCCTTGAAATGGGTGTTCCAACAAGACAACGACCCCAAACAGACCAATAAACGTGCAACATCTTGGTTCCAGACCAACAAGATTGACGTTATGGAGTGGCCAGCCCAATCCCCGGATCTTAATCCAATAGAAAACTTGTGGAGTGACATCAAAAATGCAGTTTCTTAGGCAAAACCAAGAAATAGAGAAGAACTGTGGAATGTAGTCCAATCATCCTGGGCTGGAATAACTGTTCACAGGTGCCAGAAGTTGGTTGACTCCATGCAACACAGATGTACAGTAGTTCTCAGAAAAAGTGCTTATACAACTAAATATTCATTAAGTGATTCAAAGGAAAGCAAAATCTTCAAACATTTTTCAGTTTATATAGTGAATGTTTGAGTTTGTAAAGAAGAATACAAACACTGCTATTTTTTTGAACAGTCTAATATTCACTTTTCTTCAATTTTTGTAGAGGAACAACACAAATTTGATATATTTTTCTTCATGTTTTGATTTGGAATAGAATGTGTAGTGTTCCCAATGCATTTGTGTGTATGGAAATAAAAGCTATTAGAAGGATTTTGAGGTTTATTCACTTTTTTCAACACACTGCTATTATTTTGAACACAACTGTACATTCCATGTGCATCAATACAAAAGATGTGCAAAGCCTTACAGCCTGCATAGAAAAGCCTGTCCCATGACAGCATGCTGCAGAGTAGGACCCTTACTCTCTTTGACAGGCTGTCTCTGATTTAGAAGGAAAACAAACTGTAAAACAATAAACACCTTTTTGTTTTGAGGCGCCTGGATTATATTTAGCTGATTTAAATTGAAGGTTCAATTAGGTTCTAAATGGTTGATTTACTAAAGGCAAATAGGCTATTCATTTTGCAAGGAATTTTTCACTTAGCTTAGTAAGTGTGGTGAAAATTCACTTTGCAGATTACATCATCAATCTTAACCACTTGCCCTCCAGAGGATTTACCCCCCTTCCTGACCAGGCCATTTTTTGCATTATGGCGCTGCGTTACTTTAACTGGCAATTACGTGGTCATGCAAACGCTGCTACCAAATGAAATTTACGTCCTTTTTTTCCCACAAATAGAGCTTTCTTTTGGTGGTATTTGATTCTCAGTCTTTTTTTGTTTATAGCACAAAAAATAAAAAAACGTACAGACAATTTTGATAAAAAAAAACTATATTTTTGACTTTTTGCCATTATACATGTCCAATAAAAAAATTTTAAAAAATCAAAGTTCATCATAAGTTTAGGGCAAAATGTACTCTGCGACATGTCTTTGCTAAAACAAAATCTCAATACGTATAAATAATTGGTTTATGTGAAAGTTAATGGCGGTATATATACAACATTTTTTTTTTTTGTACTAGTAATGGCAGCGATCAGCGACTTATAGCAGGACTGCAGCAGACATCCTGACACTGGGGGGGGGACGGACTTGGTGTCACTGACTTCCCCAGTGACACCAATACAATGATCAGTGATAATAAAAAGCACTGACACTGTACTAATGGCACTGGGCAGGAAGGGGTTAACATTTGCAGTGATAAAAGGGTTAACTGTGTGCTGTGTGTGCTTTCTACTGTTAGCACTGGCCAGGACCCGGTGATTGACAGCCGAGGCCGCGAATGATGTATATATACGTGATTATGCACACCCCTATCTGCAGTATTTTTACTATAGGGCAGCAATAAAGCAGTTAACTAATGGTTGTGTAACTGTCAAAGGGTCCTAAAGCACACATGCATTATAAACAATATTTCAATCTTGGGGTGATTGTGGAAAGCTAAGTTCTCCACTCATTTTATCCTATTGAGCTCACATCTGACCTCTAAACTGAGTGGAAAATATTCCTCTACTCACCGCACTTTCTTGGAATACAGGATTTTTCATAGAAAATTTTTTTTATCCAATCAGACTCTAAAAAAATGATTTGACTTTTTTCCTGATTCTTACCAAAAAATTTGAATCCAAACATCTATGGAGTAAAATACTGCTCTGTCTACAATATCAGGCTACATTTACTGCATATGTGACACTTAACTATTGGCACTCTCCAGATAGAATTTTGTTTATACAATCTTTATCATAATTTATCAATTCTTTTGTATGATAAAGTGCCTTGTTTACACATATTAACATCATTTTGTGGATTTAAATAATGAATGTTTATTAAAAAATTAAATCATCTACAATGTATAACTGTTTTACAAATTTGCCTGTTCTGTTTCTCCAGGGTGAAAGAGACACAATTAGCTATTCAAATACATTGCATGGTCACCATTCTGGTAAAATTATTGAACGCAGCAGTACACTCAGCTTGAATCTCCGTTGCCAGATGTTCCAAAACACGATGGTGAACATCATGTATCATGCAGATGATGTTGCAAATCAAACATTGACACAATATGGCTTGTACCATCCTTCATTGTACTTCTACCACTCTCCAAACTTTACCTATCCAGTGTATGATTATCCATATTATGTTGAATTAAATCAAAACTTGTATCTCCAGGCTACACTGCATTCATCCGACAACAATCTAACTTTGTTTGTGGACACATGTGTGGCTTCTCCTGATCCCAATGATTTTGTGACTCAGACTTATGATTTAATACGTAATGGGTAATGCTCTTTTATTTTTCTATACAAATTGCATCGTTTGTGTAGGATCTTAACATCGTTAAGTCAACGATCAAATGTTTTTTTCCTTTTTTAAAAACAAAACACTGATTCATTGGCCTTTGAAATAGTAGAATAAGTTGTATAAAGCAATAAATCTTACATTCACGAAACATTCACTGTGAGTGTGTTACATGACAGTGATTGACTAGCCATTAGTGAATGTTTGGTGAAGGAAATGTGTGAATCTGCACTTAATATTAATTCAAGTAAACAAATATTTGCAATATTACTGATATTTTACAGGTTATTGAATTTGATCTATAAAAATGATGCTTAAGGGGAACCAGTCAGGAATGGGTATTTGTAAGAATTTGAATCTTAGCCACTTGAGTATCCAATACTTTTTTCCCCTAAATCCCCTTGAGTCCCAGAGATGTTTTTTTGTTTTGTTTTTGTTTTGTTTTTTTGTTTAGGTGATGTCTAAGTTCTGCACATTATACCTAGCTTTGTAGTAGAGCTTTTATTTAGATGCAAGTCTGGGCACATAAATTTTTAATTCTTAGCTTTTCTCTGGGAAAAATTTGTAAAAAAAGAAAAAATGCATATTCCTGTAATTTTTCCTAGCACAGCATTAATGTAATTTGTGCACCAACATATATGTATAACTATATTCAATAATGTGATTAAATTATATAATGTTAGTGTGACTTTTGTGTAATTAGATGTAAAGCTCAAGGTAAACATATACATTTTACTTTAACCACTTGCCTACCAGGCACTTTATACCTACCTTCCTTACCAGGCCAATTTTCAGCTTTCATTAGCGCTGTGCCGCACTTTGATTGACAATTGCGCGGTATCATGCAACATGTACCCATATGAGTTCCTTTTTGATCATTTTTTCTCACAAATAGAGCTTTCTTTTGGTGGTATTTAATCTAACTGGCATGCTTTACTTTTTGCGCTATAAATTAAAAAATTAAGTGCAAAAAATTTGAATAAAAAAAAAAAAGTTTATTTGTTTCTTTATAAAATTTTTCAAACAGGTATTTTTTTCATTGATTTGCGTGACTGAGGCGGCACTGATGGGCACTGATAGGCGGCACTGATGGGCACTGATAGGGCAGCATAAAGGGCACTGATAGGCTTTTTAATTGTGGCAAATAGGCGGCACTGATAACAGCATAATTAGGGTCAAGGATAGGCGTACTGATATGCAGCTGATTAGCACTGATAGGTGACACTGATATGGGTACTGATAGACGGCACTGACTGGCATCACTTCTGGGCACTGACTGCGGCACTGACTGGCACAACCCCTGGGCACTTGACTGGTGCACTGACTGGCAGCACTGCTGGGCTGCACTGGTGGGTGGCACTGGTGGGCAGCACTGGTGGGAGGGCACAGGTGGGTGGCACTGGTGGGCACAGGTGGGTGGCACTGGTGGGTGGGCACAGGTGGGTGGCACTGCTGGGCACATGTAGGTGGCACTTCTGGGCACAGGTAGGTGGCACTGCAGAGTGGCACAGGTGGGGGCACTGCTGGGCACAGGTGGGGTTTGCACTGCTGGGCACAGGGGGGGCACTGCTGGGAACGGGTGGGCGGGGCTAGTGGGCGCACTGCTGGGCGGAACTTGCGGGGGTGTCACTGCTGGGCACCGATCATCAGGGCACTGATCATCAGTGCCCTGATTGAATCTTGCCGATCCCCGCTCTGACAACTGCCGGTTCTCGGCAGTACTTTCCTCACGATCTGACAGCGTGAGGAAAGTGCAGCCGAGAACCGGCACTTATGCATTTCCCTCTAATCAGCGTGTCATTGGACACCGCTGATCACGTGGTAAAAGGCCGGTGGGATCGGCCTTTCACCACATCAGATCAGCTGTGTCCGTAGGACACAGCGATCACGGAGATCGCCGGGTGCGCGCCCCCTGGGGTGCGCAGGACTTGAGCGCGTTCTGGGAGACGTCATATGACGTCCACTCAGAACTGGCCGGCCGCGTGTGAAGCCGTCATTCGGCTATGCGCGGTCGGCAAGAAGTACTAAGAGAGTTTTTATTCCCCTTTTAACGCTACACTGCAATGCAAGCAGGACAAAAAAATTGTTTGCATATATTGTTAGGGTAACGTTATGATAGGATTAGGGTGGGTATAAAAAAGCACATTGATGACTAGGAGTTCCTTTTGGGAGTGAAAATATATCCCCCTATACAGCTGTGCAGCAGCAGATACTGAAGCAGTGATTGCAATTTTGTAATGACATGCTTCAGTTTTGGCTCCCATCTCTAATAAAGAGTTTATATATTAACTAGAATAATTTAAGTAGATTTATAAAATGCTCTTACCAGTAGATAAAGTGAAAATAATAATAATATAATGTCAGCCTGTCCAACATTACAAATCTGGACATTTACCTGATGATATAAGCATGTACATACACTAAACATCTACAAATGTTTCTGGCTTTTACCTTCAGCACCAAGTCAGTTTTACCACTGCTTTTAGAGGGTAGATAACCTAAAAATTTTCTTTTAAAAAAAAAATAAATAAAAATAAAGCCACAGGTGTAACAAACATCATTGCACAAGCAGCCTATGCAGTACTAATTCCTGATTACTGGCACTGAAATGTTCATTTAAATGTAATCACCAAAAGCCACAAATGATATTAAATCTGTGTTTCTGTGCACCAAATGATTTTGCAAACCCAGATATCACCTTGTAAATGTGGAGTAACATCAGCACTGGGCTGCACATAGCTTGTGCTCAGAGCAGATTTGTGGGAGGGACCCAGCAGGTCCACCCTCTTCAGGCTACCTGCAGCAGTAGTGACCGGTCTTCATTATGGAAATCTGCACAGAAAGAAACGGTTTTCACACTCGATTATTGCACAGCTCTAGAAAAAATTACACAAGCCACACCAAGATTCAAGTACATATATATAGGCCTTTTGTATTTAGAAAATATCAGCTTATTCTGGAGTTCAGCTTTAATCTTACTTTACATCTGAATTCATTTTCTGATTCCATTTTGACAGATTTTACAAGATAACCCATTAACTGCAAACAACAATATCTAAAGTGGTTGTAAACCCTTACATATAGCAAGTGAAGTGACTGACCTCAGGTGATACACAGAGATTAACCAAATCCTCCTACATAAGTACCTGTCCATCTATAGCTAACTTTCCCCTACATCCAAAATGCAGAATCAGATCTCTGAAAAGGGCTCTGAAAAGCAGGGGGTGGGGAGCTAAAGTTACATCAGTGGGGAGAGCTCTGAGAGCTGACCCCCACACACACACAGCACATAGGAACAGATTTGAGGCTGTCAATCACAGGCTGCGCCATCCCCCCATCTCACCATTTTTCTCTTGGTGCCAGGAAAATTCTTTAGAAGTGACCTAAGCAGAGGAACGAGACAGTAGACAGAAATGACACTTAGTACTCAGGATTGAGACAAGCACAAACTTTCATGTCAGAGCTTTACAACCACTTTAATTTCACAACTGGAATTACATGGAAGCAAAACATGGCCTAGTAAAGTTATTTATAGTTGGACTTGGTGTCAGGGATCAGTGAGTTCTGTTCATAAATTAGGTTTGGAATTATGGTTAGGGATAGTGTAACTGTTGCTTTAGGTTACATTTTAATATGTATGTAAAGACCAAACTTTTTTTAAGTTTTGGAAATGTTCACCATTTCTATTAGTCCTGGTGAACATTGTCTCCAGTACAGAAACTGAATATTCAACATTTGCTTTTGATGTGGAAAACTGTTGTACATAATAACAACTGCTAAAAGGAAAATCCCCTCATTTGGAAGAGATATTGCTTTTCTTAACGCTCCATATCTGGAACAGAAAATATCCCCAAGGGGACTCAAACAAAAAAGAAACATTACCAATAATAGCTGGGTAGGAGTTAAGTGTTTGTTTTAGAGAGTGTTAAATTTAGGGCTCTACATCTGGGCAGACATGGAAGTTATGGATGAATGGATGGATCTCCCATTTAGGTATAATACTTTAGAGACAATTAAGGATGTACTGCAAAGTCAAAAATTTAACTAAAATGTACTTTTATTTTTTGTATTTAGGGAGATTGGTCTGTGGATTCCATTTTGTATTTTCTTTTATTTAATGTAAAAACTAAAAGCATTTTTAAAACCTACTTTTAATAGTTTCTGTAAAAAAAGAGGTCATAAATATTATTACAATTGTGTTTCTTTTATGCTTTCAGATGCATCAAAGATTCCACTTATTTGACCTACCCAACATATTACTCAAATCAGATTCGATTTGGATTCCGTGCTTTTCGGTTTGTACAGAATTTCAACAGAGTCTACTTAGAGTGTAAATTAACTGTTTGCAACAAAAATAGCTATAATTCTCGCTGCTACCAAGGGTGTATAAGGAGACGTAAAAGGGATGCATCATCATCTTATGAAAAACTTACTGTTATGGTAGGGCCAATTGAACTAAAAAAAAATTAAACCTTTCAATGTGTGTACTACTAGACACCACTAATTAACATTCAAATATTCTTCTAAATATGTCACACAATTTATTACTCATGGATTTAAATTTGCAATGTTAGGATTTCAATGATAAGGTTAAATTCACGATAAAGGCATTAAAAAATTTTATGCTAAAAAAGATTAGAATTAAAGTGACTTTATATATTGGTAGCCTCAATGGATTGCAATTGTAAGCATTCAGAACATGTACATTTTCTTCACCAAGCATCTAATATGTTTTAAAAGTTTTTTTTTTTTTTTAAAACAAAGAAAGCCCATATATATATGGTATCTTTATATACTTTAACCTCGGCCATTTTACCTTTATTGATACCTAATAACACAATACACTCAGCCTTTTAAAGCTGAATTCCAGGAATGCTTTGTATATTATAGTTGGTCCAGCTTAGCACAATGTAAGTATGCATAAACCATACCTGTGGGACTGTGATGGAAGTGAAGAATTGCTGTGGAAGTCATTGCTACTACAGGGGATCACGCTTGGCATGGGTGCCATTAAATGAATGCCTTGCATTTTTCTCAGTAAATGCAAAGTGTTCTCCAGTTGGGTCAAGTGAAGAGGCAGAGTGGTGATGCCCCTCCCCGTGGTTTCTATGGAGCAGAGCAGTCAGTCAGCATTGGACCTGGAGGACCGTTGCAATCACTGCAGTAGCAGTGACTACTGGTTCGCTTCTGCAGCGATTTCATAGGTATGAATATACACATTTACAACGTTCCAAGCTTGACCAAAGTAGCTATGCAATACAAACCGTATATGGAATTCAGATTTAAATATTGACAACATGCAACCAGACCGTTAACTTACAATATATGATTGAACTCCACGCTAATGTCCTCTTCTTTACATTTTAGTTTTCTAGAGAATTCAAATATGTTAAAACTTGATTCATTTTCATCTTTTTATTGCACGTTAAAAAAATATAAAAAAAAAAAAAAAGCAAAAACATATGTTGTCTTTTCTTGATGTAATTTTGATGATAACCAGTTTTAAAATTTGAATTTTAAATACATTTATTTTATGAATATATTTCTACATTTTGTCTCTCTTTTTTGTGTGGACCATTAGGACAAATTATTATTGTTCCTTATGTTCAAAGACAGGCTGTGGTATTAAAGAATGTAAATATTTTTGTATTTGTTGTACGTCTTCATAGAAGAATTATAAATAACTGATCTGCATGTACCGTATATATACCGACATGCCACAGTATAATTATAAAAGTGCAATACTTATTACACTTTTGCTGTAAACAGTCCTTTAGGTCCAGTTAAGTGACTGTGCACAGGATTCATGAAGTTTTGAATGTACTACATGAAAACTCACAAAAAATTATGTCAGACAGGTGAACACATTTCCTCAGTCTTCATTTTCCTTTCTATTGATCACTATTAAGTTTATGTTACATCACATCTGAAATGAAGAGTCAGCAGATTAGCTGATTTACAGGATTTTCATTCTAGAGGGTCAAAGGGAGAAAGGGAAGAGGGTCTGAGCTGTTTGAGCATTATATATATTTACACTGAATGGATATAGATTGTGATACAGCAGCACTATAACACCCCTCCAAGAACATAAAGCCAAAAGCATTGGGATTTACTGTATATGGGTCATCATAAGTAATCTCAGGCCCAGCATCTATGTTCTGGTTGCAAATACTGACATTGAATGATTCCTGAACAAAGATGATGCTGGACTTTAGAAGAGATGACGTTGAACATAAATGGGGCTGAACTGGATGGACTGTTGTCTTTATTCAGCCCTAACAACTATGTACAAAAGGCAAATAGACTGTTCAATTTGCAAGGGAAGTTGGACATTGCTAGGTAATTTTTTTCTCCACAGCTTACTGAAAGGGAAGTGACATCAGATGCACATGGGAACCGGAAGTGGAGTAGT